ACGATCGAGTAACCCAGAACGCCGTCCACGGGGTGCGTGGGCCATCTGCACGGCCAGAATGGAGATCGAGATCACGATTTTTTTCAAAATACCCGCTCATTCAATTTGGATTACTCGATAGGAATTACGGAGTATGCTTCAAAGACTGGTTTCGGTTATTGCCTCCAACAAACAGACTCGTGCCTATTCTCAGGCTCGTGTTTCAGCAAATCCGACAGTCAAAATATAGTCATTCTCTCAAGTACAATCACCCCTCCATACTATACACAAGCCTGTCATACACACTGTAAGGAGGACAGTGTGCATCGTCTGGATACCCTCATGCTTACCAGATCCGGTTATCGGAACGCAAGTCCACAGGCAAAGTGGCAAGCAATCCGTAGAATACCGGGTGTGTAAAATTTTCATACTTCGTAACAATGGCCGCACTTCCGGGCCAATCACAAACGTTCTTAATGGGCGCCTGACGGGCGAGGCAATCTATCGGGCGTCTCCGCTGGTTCGATCGGGTATCTCCCTGCAGATTTATCATCCGTCTTACTCGATCGAAATTCCTAGGCCGTTTCCTTTTACTCGATCAAAATGAGTTGACGAATGGAGTCACTATGGATGTGCTAGCCATTGCTTTCTATAATTGGGCGCTTAGGAAGACTGACAACAGTCTCGAAAATTCTGTGCTTTCCCCCTCTTTTCGGCGTCCTCCGTAAAGCTTTGACTCAAGGCCTGGCCGTCCTTCGTCCTCAAGTCGCATAGATTGGGAGAGTCAGTGCATCAACATAGGTCCCTCGTGCGTCGTTATAGTGCAGCATGTCCGAGTACTATCAAGATCATATATGTCATGCTTATTCGATCATTTTCGCCAATTGCATCAGGACTCGTCAAGGTGATATCAGCACGCTCGTTCAACGGTTGTGTCAATCTGATTCGACATGAGGCAACTGTGACTGCTTCGGATCAACACACCGCTCTAGCTTCCTACCGTGTTCCTTCCTCGTGGCCAGGAAAGCGATTCCAAATCGTCATCTGACTTGACGGGGAAATCCTGACCGCGTGAGAGCGGATTCACTGGTGTTTCCACACTATAGCCTTCCGATGGCTAGTGTAAGGTTAGTTGATGGATTGTTAACCAGATGAGTTCCAGCCACCTCGAAGCGTCCTTTGAGCCTTAGTATCCTCTGTTGTTTTGTACTTCTGCGGCTGCAGACAACCCTGGCAGTCAGCACCAGATCCAGAGGCTCGTGCTTCGGCGCTCAGCGCCTAAGGGCAGCAGCTGACCTGCGAATAGACAAAGTAACGTTAGCATAGCTCATCTTCAGGAATGGTCCCCTAATACGAAATACCAGTAAGAGAGACATGTTAAGTTTAGCAGGCGTCAATCCCCGTCGCTTTGATCGAAGTCGATATTGGGAGACCAATCTTTGTTGATGGCGACAATTTGTATCCAAAAGGTACAACTTCAGATTTCGCTTTCTCCATCTTATTTAGGACAAGGCATTCTCAGCAGGGACAGTTGAGCTGTGAATTGACAGATACAGCTGCAGGGCTCGTGCCGCAGTGAGTCTTAGTCTGATATGCCTTGAGATCGAAAACCGGTCTCAGACACTCCAGCCTACCTCGTAGAGATAGCGAACTGGCTGTATCGGCGCCAGCAGGGATGCTCCATCATTGTAACGACTCAGTGTTCGAATACTTCACCAGATGTCGGGAGTGCACAAAGTCAAAGGGACGTATCTTGTTGTACCAGGGATGTATATATATGTCCACATCCTGAGACGTGTCTGCGAACAACGATGATAATAGTTTACCGTTCGTGGATCGATGATTTTCTTATATTGGCATTTGTCCCTTCCAAAAGAGAAGTATTTATTCTCAGTAGCAGTGAGCAAAGGCCATCTTATTAGTACCTAACTCACGGTTGCATCATCTGTCACTTCCATGTTTCTTGTGGATTTGCGGAGTGCTTCCTGGGGCCCCTCATGTAAGAGCCAACTTTCCAATATCAACCCACACCCACATCAAATGAGGAACGACCTGATCACTTATCAGCCATTAAGAAAACAAAATCTCGCTAGACTTGATAAATACCAAAAACAATTATGAGCCTCCACGGAAGTGACTTGAACAAGCGATCCGCCGGACCGACCCGCCGGCAAGTGGGCCAAACAGGAAACTAAAAACAAGAAGTAGGATAGGATTAGAATGATTGAACGTAGTCCTAAACGTGCAGAGAAGGCAGACAATACCTAGGCCGATCCAACTTGTTCATGAAGACTGGAAGATCCCGCATCCAGTTCCTTCACTGAAGAAGGCAGATTCAGCGTAGGGCATTTTCCGCTTGAGAGTGTCAAGAGTCCTGCATACATGCGCCATGCTAAACCATGAGATGTCGAGGCTATAATTGTAAATTAACACTGGGATGTTCGAATTAGGTGCTTATCTTTTCATGAGGTTGCACGCTATGATGGATATTGCAGTTTTTGACAGATGCATCAACCTATTTTCGCTCATTGCGTGCTTCGTGCAGAAATTACGAGATTCCATATTTAGAAATGGGTGTCGCCATTAGCAATGGCAGCTGTCTGTATTTCAAAAAGGAACCTTTTCAACGGAGATGTCCTGCTGAAATTGTATGTTGAGAATGAATATTGAATGAGCTGATGGCTAAGACCTACTTCAACTTGATGAATGGATGACAACAATACTTGGGTTATAGAGCGTGAGATAAAAGAGGCAAGAGGGAATCGTCTCGGACAAGCCTCCTATTTGAGAAAATGAAGACTACGCACAAAACGCCAGGAGAAAGAGTTCTCTGATTTTGGATCATTGAGAGCACCAGGGACGGAATGCTCGTTGACAATGCATACTAATTGAGACTGACTGACAAAGTCATCTAGGACCTCAACAAATCAACTGCACCCACCATTGAATATTCTAGGCAGAAGTGATACCTTTCGTCGGCCTTAGGGTATAGCAAGAGTCCGCGTGCACTTATCCATTGCCATCGAAAGCCAAAGTCATACGGACTGTAAGGACATCAACCATTCAAACTAATCTCCATGCCCAGCAACGGTTTCCGAAGTGGCGCCGTCCAACTCCTTAAACTCGAGATGAGCTTCTCCGTCAGAAGGGTTCGCATACATCTTTGCCAGCCACTCAAGCATATCTTCCCAAGCGTTTGGCATGATGCATTCTGTATGCAGCGCCTCACCGGACGAGTAGCAGTTGCAGCCGTGTTCTTGAAAACCTGGCACGGGGAAGCCAACGGGTTTGTCGGAGAGCACGTAAGCACGGCAGCGAGAGAAATTGAAAGAGATGAACGACGATGGCAAAGCCGGGCTCTCCTCGACGAGGTCGATATGGGTATGGTGGAGAGGGTTGGACAATGCGATTGCGGAGATGTATGGTCTCCATGAGCCCCCTTATTATGAGCTTGTGTCAGCAGGTTTCTACAGCAGCCCTGACATAGAGAAAGAAGGGTAAAGGCAAAGCATACACTCAGCTTCGAGATACCGAATCGCCCCTAGGCCTCCCTCAGACAAGCCAATGATGTCTATCTTCACGTCCTCCCTGACGAGGCGACCGCGGGCCGAGAGAATATCCTCGAAAACGCAGGCAACATGTTCCTGCCAGTCCTGATTCGAAGGAATCTTGTTTCGACGGGTCATCGTCAACGGTGCATCGACAGCAGAGGACCGTGGAAGGGCGAGCCACGTTTGATGAGTGACTGCTCGACTGGAACCACAGTGCCAAATCAATTGACCTGTATTCGCCAGAACTAAAGCAGTGTCTGCATCTTTGAAGCTTGCTGCGGATTCCTTTCCTAAGATTGCTCTCGCAAAAGCCACAGCCGAACCTGCGTTGACGCCTTCAGTGCCTACAGTACGATATGCCCAGATACCGAGGTCCTGAATGGGCTCCCCAAAGACAGCGATGACGCGCGATGCGCGAGCCAGGTTAGCAGAGATCCAAATTGGAACATGAGGGTCTTTAGGACCAGAAGAGAGAGGAAGCCGGAAAGTAGTGAGTCCCAGACTGCGTAGACGCGAGGAGACGATAGTGCGAATGCATTCTAGTTCATGTCAGTGGTCCAAGCTATCATTAAGATTGGAGAAGAGTTCTAAGAGTCTTACCGTTCATTGCTCCTCGCTGTAGATCGTTCCATCGGTCATTTCTATTGATTTTGAACTGGAATTCTTGTTCGGGATTGGATATCTTTCTAATTTGATCCTTTTCATTGATGAAGTACCTGCGACATGTGTGTGAGACTTGACTGGCACGATTCATACCCATCTGGCCATCACTTACCCAAGTTTCTCCAGGTCAGCAGGGAAGACAGGGTCCAGAGGCAGATCCTGCGGACGGTAGACAAACATCCTCACGGATCTCGTTGCTTGCTTTCTCAGAAGTTGAGCGAGCCCTGAGGGATTGCAGCTTGATATATGAAGGAAACAAGACCTTTGATAAGAAGTGCTGTAAGGTGTACCACGGAAGAAAAGGTGAAGAAGGAAGCTCTGGGAATTTCCAGCTAAGAGAATGCAAGAATCGGAATCTATGGTGAAAGAGGTGGTTTGCAGCCGAACTTGGAGAACGTAGTAGGTGGTGAGAACTGCAACTATCCGACGCAACGTAATAGTGAAAGATAGTCGTTTGCTTTGGTGTGACTATGAACTGATTTCCCTCTCCCCCAGCTGCCCTGAATGTGTTGAACAGAGCACGAGGCACGGCTGTCTTGATTGCCTTCTAGGAGGAATTTTACATACCACCAGGCCAATTCACCTGACCTCATCAGAAACCTCAAAGTGAGAGAAATATCATACCGGCATAGATTCACCCATCTACCATTATGTCCCTAACGACACAAGTGTCCACTGACTGAAATTCCTCAATCAAGCATCGCATCTATTGTACATTTCTCGAAGGAAAGGAGGATAAAAACGCCTGCGTGCAAACCGGCCGTCCCAAAATTGCCAACATAATACAACCTGCAAGATAGAAGAACTCTACCAGCTCGCCTTCTTCACGCCGGGGAGTTCACCATTAAGAGCTTGCTGACGGAATTGATACTGTCACGAACAGTTTGAATTAGCCGGCCCGCTCAGATCATCGACAATTACCAGACAAGGACGTCACTTACTCTCGCAATTCTGAAATCGCGTATCACACTCCTGGCGATTCCTCCTGCTACGCATCTGTTCTTGATCTGCGTCGGCCGGGTGTAGGCGTGCATCTGAGAAAGCTGCAGCTGAGCCTGGGCACGGACACGCTGAGGGAGGGTAGTGTTGCGGATGATGTAGCGGAGAGCTTGACTATACAGTGTGAAGGAGCCGGGTTAACTTTGAATTTCTTTCGCAAGCTTCCTAGCCAGAGGCCACTAGGGGTCTAGGGGGGTCATACCGATCGGGCTCATATTGCTCGAAGACCTTGCGCTTCGTGTGATCGCGGATCACGCGGGCATTGATAAACCCGCTGAGATCCAGCCTCTTCGACCTGAAGTGCGACATGTTGAAAAGTGGAATGAACGTTAAGAGGTAGCTCTCTTCGCTGTCAAATGAAGGACTTGGGAGCACCAGCGCAATGGGTAGCGGTTCAAACGGAGCGGCGGAGTTGGCAAAATGTGCCTTCCAGATCGGGATTAGCCCGGGATGGCCCAGATATCATAACGATCCAATATACGGAGTAATTATTCCCATATCATGCTCGATAAAATAGGATTATGCTCTCCTAGAATATGATCATGCTGCTCGTTGAACTGAGTATGTTTTAGTCTAATCAGACCTTACGAATCTGTCATGAGAAATCCTTTCGAGTACTCTAGTATTGATACTGCGTCTTAGCGTAGAGAGTGATGGCAGCAGAAAACATAAGCCACCAAGGGACAATCTCGCTTCCGATGATCTCATCAGTGACAGTTGGGTAGTGTTCATTGTTCCTTTCGAGTGGCTGAGAGCAAAAGTGTACGCTCTCACGGCCCTACGATACCGGCGCCGTCCTAAAGCGCAGCGAGTTGTCCGTGAACGAGGCTCAATTACTGAAGAGTGCGTGCGATAAAGACCGGGGATAGGATCACGGAAGTAATTGTACACCTTTACTATTCGTCAGAGTACCCCAATGCGGTAAATTCTATATGCTGGTACATGTTGGCTGCGCGCGAACTCAGAGCGAAGTGCAACAGCAATGCAGGAGTGATGCCACCATTGACCGTCCTCTTTCCTCCGCCATACTGGTATCATTGAAAGGTTTGAAATGAAATCAGTGCTTGACGTTCTTAGCGTTAGGGTTGCGGGGATCGTTCTTGAACTCCTCGGCTAGAAAAAGCGTAAATGTCAGCCATTGTTGATTGAGGTGATGGAATCCAGAACGAATGGCCGAGGCGCATCCACAGAGGGACCTGTCCACTCTGATCATGAGTACAAAAGGGAGGCTCACTGTTCATCAGAGCGTTGGCGAGAGAGTTGACGCCGTAGAGAATGACGACACCTGCAACAAAATCCTTGTTAGACTGGTCATTATTCCGGCTTTGGCTAAGATCGAGACCGCTTTTCTATTGGATCCGATCTGCGAGCTCAACATATCCGCGATGAAATCAAGATGGCATACCGGCAGCGAAGAAAGGAGCCATAGGCTTGGCTGTGATTGAGCGGTTAGTTACATGATCCCATCGCCATCGCACAAGCGTAGTGGGGGTCTTATAACATACCCACAGGGGCGGGGAACTTCTTTCCGAGGAGAGACATTGCGACTTATTATGCAATTCGAAGCTGACTTCTGGTTGCGGAGGGTTCAGAGAGTTGGTAGAGCTTGAGAACGGTGCGACGAGGAGAAGCGGAAGCAACGAGGTTTGCCCGGAAGGCCGATATCCGGCCGCTTTTACGGAGTGGGCACTAAACCAGTGCCGCTTTTACTGCTCCGCAGACAGACCCCGCCGCAAATAAACAATGAACAGCCGGCGAGAAGATAGCAACATTTCTACATCCAGACAAAAATACTACTAACGGATGCTTCAACATGGCTGCATCACTTCAAGCCTCAGTTGACTCGCTTCAATCATCATTACAAACCCTCGATTCATCCATCTCTACTCTCGATTCCGGTGTTAGCGACTTTCCCCGATTGTGCAAGGTCTTGCAGACGACACGGGTAAGAGACATGATATAGTACGGCAAGCCTATCATTTTCATTGATTTGCTGATTCTTCGATTGGATGGTAGCACTTTGAACTCCTTCCCGAACCTACTCTGCGCGAAGCACAGCAGTCACTCTTGGATGAAATCACACCGAGTATCGCGCATTTATTATCCTTAGCCTCAAACCATGTCGAAAAGCTTTCCCGTCGCGAACAGGCCCTTAAAGCTAAATGCGAGCTCCAGGAGGGCCGACTTCACTCCAACGACAGCCGTCAATCGTCGACTCACGGTTTGGGCACTACGCGCGATCGACAGAGACAAGACGGTAGTAGCGCTGTCGCAAAAGCAGCGGAATACAGACGACTCGTCCAGAAGAAGGAACGGCTGAAGTACACAGTTGAGCGACTAGAGCTGCAGAGTCAGCAACGTGAACGTCAACTGAGGAAAAGTATGGCTTTTCAATAAGCCCACAAGCGGAGTTGAGAATCTACTCTCGATCCGAATAAGACTTTGTGGCGAACACCACCTTTCTACATCTACGGAATATGTTGCCTGGTCGAAAACAGACAGTGAAGCCACCGGCTATCTGCGACTATGCCATAAAACCTATGAGGAGCCAAGTCCGCCCCTCTGTTCCCAGGAACAGCGCGTCTGGCGGGCTCACCGATTAAGGCAGCATGCCTTCGATTACTACCGAACGGGCTTTCGCGAGAAATAGTCTCGTGCAAACGACAACAAGCGCCTAGGCCGACTTGAGTAAATTACGTTTGGCAATCGACTAAAACTGCTGCTTCTAGCTGCCCTGGGAGAGGCCACCATCCATATGAAAGTGACGAGTGTTTGAATGTGCATCGGAAGGATTGCATGTGATTAAGAATAGCAATTCCGAGTGAAGAGCTTTATTGTGACTGCACTCTATGCAGTGATGTTCTATTGTACACACAAATGTAACACAAGTATTCTGATCCCGACTGTTCAAAGTTGTAGTATACCCATGAACCATGATACGCCGCAAACCTATTCCTTTATCCCCCCCAAAATGTACATTGTTGGTTGATTGATGCAGTTCAATCAACACCATTGTCCGTCAACTTGACAGTAGATTGCTTCTTCGAGGCCTGTCTGATCTTCTTCTTGTCCTGATGCTTCTTCCAACTGGGAATCGTTTGACCCTTCTTTCTCACAGGGGTTGCGAATACATCCCAGTTGTCGGACGAGGTAGTTTCCAGAGTACCATCTTCAGCTCCACCTAGAGCGGCTTTCGAAGCAGCTCGCTTCGCCAAACGTTCTTTCTTGCCCTCGCCATGTTTTTCACCGATTCTCAAGCTCCGTGGAACGCGGGTCTTCGCACCAAGGGCCCAGAGGTCTCCCCAGCGGGCTTTGCGAGCATCCTTGTAAGCTTGCTTACTGTAGGAACGAGGAACGGTCCAGCGTTCAATCTTTCCTGCTGGTGTACAAAAATCAAAGATGACGTGTCCACGGCGTTTCATTGGAGTGTACACGGCGCGAGGGAGAGACAACGTATGGAAGTCTTGGCTGTTTTGAGCAGGCGAGGGCTCGCTGGTCACAGCGTCGCCTGAAACAACGGCGTCCTCCGACTCCATATCGTGAAGGTGTTCATATCCGGCAAAGGCCGCTTCAGCGGCTTCGGCACCTTGGACGATGTTCATCTCCTTGCGAAGATCCACACCACGTTGAACCGCTATGTAACTGAATTTGACATCCTCATGGTTCCGATCCTTGGCGCCTAAGATTCGTTGAAGGAAAGCGGGTCTGATATATCTCTGCTCAAAATGGCAGAAGTCTCTGCGTCCCTTGGCACGGCCAGCAACAGTATACATGGGGCATTTCGCATGATTTGTGCAAGGCGCAATAATCATGCCTTCCTCTTTGTCAGTGAGCTGGTTCTCGTTAGAAGACTCGGTAAGTTCTTCGTATTGTGTAGAGCCGGGACTTGAAATGTAGCGCTTCAGCAACATCTCACGAGCGCCGGCTATCGCTTCGAATCCCTTCTGGTGTCCCTTTTCAAGAAGAATCAAAACACCGCCGTTGGGATTCAGAAGAGTCCAAAGATTTTCGACATGTTCTTTCCGCAGATACTCTTCCTCCAGGCCAAGTAGAGTATGTGGCGCTATGATGACATCGTATTGTTTGCGCGGGGGCGGAGGCCGCTCGTCATCGAGAGTTGGTTTCTCACGAATATGAACATAGTCGGGCAAGCGTGGCAGGAAAGTTGTGTTGTCGAGCATTACACTCGCGCGATTGCGGAGCGCTTCTGAGGCTGTGACTACTGTTGACCTACCCAGTGGGATAGGATCTGTTTCGGGATGATCTGGAACCATGGCCTCCCATTCTGCACGGATGACGTCTCTCCAAGCCAGAATTCCCGCACCACCAGCCCCGGCGTCCAGGACATTAGGACCACCCTCCTGTGCAATCAGCCGGCGTATCCAGTCTGTGCCCAATCGCTTCCGAACCTCGACGAGTACGCTCAAGGCAGATGCATACATGCCGGGGTATAAAGCTGCCATGTATGCATTTCCTTCCATCTGACTCATGTGGCGTTGAGAAGCCTCGAGGGGAATCGGAAGCTGGGGTACCTGTGCGCGCGGAGGGGGAGTTGTGGTGGAGTGAGGTAGCAACCGGCCGCCAAAAGTCCGGTGAGCGACGTCGGCGATATGCCTGTTCGAGTATTCGGAGAGGATGACGGAAATCGGGCCAGTTACGGTGTCTTTCGGCAAGAATACAGTGCTTGGGTCCGTAGAGAACTTTCCCTCTCGCGTCAAGGGATGCAAGCGAGGGGTCGCGTCTGGAACCGCTTCATCTTCGAATTGTTCCAGCATCAGCTCCCCACCAAGCTGCTCTGCCACTTCTCTCGTGCGACGCATAGCGGCCGATTCTTCCACGGGAGGACCGACTTCCATATCATAGACAAGCGGAGGTCCATCATCTTGCGACTCGACCTTCTCAAACTCGACTTCTTTCCAGCCTCCCTGGCCATCCTCTTGAAACAAGCGATGGGGATCTCCATCCTCCTCGGCCAAGTCAGCTTCCAACTCCGATTGTGGCTCTTCCACCTTGATTATCGGTTCGCCGTATAGCCGTGTATACAAATGAAGTTCGGTTTCGTTCAAATAGCCTGATGGGAGGTACTCGCCGAATTCTTGCCTCGCAGTTCGTACTCGTGATTCCAAAGTTTGTCCGTCTCGGTAACCGATCGTCTGGCTGAACACATGGTCGAGTTCGGGGCCTTCAAGATTCAAAACTCCTTGATACTCTTCCAACAGTCCCAAGTCATCCATGAGCTCCGCAAGCTCCAGCTCGGTTTCATTGATCTTATCAATCAGAGCGTAGATTGTGTCTTTTCGGTCCGCATA